GTGAAACGGAGCCACAGGAGCTGGAACTCGGTTTAACCCCCCCCCTCCTGCACGGGCCACGCTTTGGGGCGCTGGTGTAAGAGGGACAACTCCTGTCCTGGACGGACACGGGTGCGTTATCTGCACAGCAGCAGCCACCCCATCACGAAACTGCTGATTTTCTCCCTTTCTTCTGAACGAGAAGGAAGGGGATGAGCCCCGATCCTCCCGAGGCACCCCAGGGAACAGCCAGGCTGCTGCTTTCCCCCATGGGTGACAATAACCCATCAGACCTTCAAGCCACAGTTCTTTGCTCATCTCAGATCCAGGTTACCCTCACAGAACCCCAGAATCATTCCAGCTGGAAAAGCCCCTCGGGATCAGCGAGTCCAACCCTCAGCCCGACTCTACAAAGCTCTCCCCTACCCCACATCCCCCAACATCACATCCAGATGCCACGGCCCAGGGGTGCAAAGCGAGCGCCCGGCCCAGGCTCACCCAGATGGGAAGCAGCTGAGCTGGACACAAACATCACCCCATAAATCCCCCCACCCCAAAGCCCCCCACCCCATCTGGGGGCCGCTACCAGGCTGGCAGCTTTGCCCTGCCGAGCTGAGCCTCGGCTCCTCGCTGCGGAGCGCTGGTACCCGCGATGCTACAGCCTGGCATGTCTTCCCGGGGTTGCCAAAGCAACGGCAGAAACACAACAAACAGCAACAACACACAGCAGACAGTCGGCAAACATTCCCCTCTTATTTTCTCCCCAGTTCGGTTTGTGCTTTTTCCCTTCTCCCACGAGGAAGCTGCTACCATCGGAAGGGAACAACAATATTATTCTTCAGCGCGCGAAGCCTGCGCCATCCCAGCAGGAGCCGCCTCGCAAAGCCCCCGGAGCTGCTGGGAAGGCGACTGCTTCTGGGGAGGAGCCCCACAAACCCGTCCTGAACCCCGAGTCGGACACGGGCAGGCTCCAGCGCTCACCTACCTCCTCGGTGCTGCAGGCGAGGTCTTTGCGCGCTGAGTAATCGGGGCTGTGCCGAAGCCAGGTTGGCCAAGTAAGGTGAATCCCTCCTCCCGGGCAGCCGCGGTGCTTTCCCGGGCTGTTGGGATGTCCTGACCTCGGGGCTGGGATAAACCCAGCACGGCCCAGCCTGCTGACTTTTACATCAGCCTCAATCCCACAGTGTGGTTTGGGGGGGGGGGCTCTGGGACTCAGCGCCCTTTTGCACAGGGCAGGGAGCACGTGAGCATCCTCAAGGCTGAAGCAGAGGACGCGGGCACGGCTCCTGCCAAGGGGTCCCCCCGGGTGGCTCGGCCACCCCAGGTCTCGCCGAGGCAGCGGTGCAGCCTGAGCCCCGCAGCCGAGGGGGATTAGCGGGCGCAGCGCGGGGCACGGGCTTTCAACCCGGGATTAGCATCGCTGCGGCACGTGACGCGGGGGGAGAGCGGCTCCCCGAGAGCTGCCTTCGAGCCAGCACCAAACACCCCTAGCACCCGCTCCACCGGGCCAGGCAGCCCCTGAGCTGATGGGCTCAGGACTCTCAGCAGCAGCTTTCTGAGGTCAATTTAACAACTTTTCACCCTTTTCGGGGGGGTTGGGGGTTCCTACGAGCGTACTGGAGGAGGTGGATGGTGCTCACAGGACAGTAAGCTCTCAGCCACGAACCTTCCTGCTCTCCTCCGTCCTCTCTCACCTCTCCCTCCTCAAATCTGGGAAATCCCAGAGCCAGCAGCCCCTTCCCCAGCCCGGAGCAGGGCAGCAGCCCCAGGATGGGTCTGGTGGCTCCTCTCTCCGCTGATTACACTTGGCAGCTGCCTCCAATCCCCTTAACTCCTGCAAACACCGACTGCCAGGGGCTGCAGGGCTGTACCCGATGCCCTGAGCACCAGCCTGATCAGATCTGAAATACCTAACACATATCCCTCGCCATTTTACTACTCTCCTTCTCACACGCACATGTATACACATGGATATACTTATATGCATACTTCTGTTAACCCTCTCTCAGGACCTTTTTCCCTCTTTTTTTTTTTTGAAAACCCACCCATCTGGTGCCTCATTTATGCTCCTGGAGGCAATTACGGCAATAAGGAACGAGGGAGAGGGAGTGAGGCTGGAGGAAGCGGGGTGGGTGCAGGGTCTGGAGCACAGGTCTGCTGGGGAGCGGCTGGGGGAACTGGGGGGGTTCAGTCTGGAGAAGAGGAGGCTGAGGGGAGACCTCCTGGCCCTCTGCAACTCCCTGCCAGGAGGGGGCAGAG